GTACACAAGTGAAGTAGTCTATAACTGTTGTCTTACCTACATGTACTACTTAGACACAATATTAAATAATTGCTGTATCTCCCATCTATGTCTGCGACTTTTGAAAAGGAGATAATGTTTCTTTTGAAGACTCTTGAACCCTGATGGGTTGAGACATCAAATGACTATCCATCGTTGATGTCTGGAAGGTTAATAGGTTATACACACTGATTACTATTCTGGTTTGACTAATTATCAACCTTTACTAGAAACACACTTAATCACCCATGTTGATCTCTACCGCCCTAAGGGAGATTACTCTTATCTCATTAACAGTGACAATTTATAATTCAATAATTCCCGGTGGGATTTACCTTACATTTCTGACATACAAAGGTCAAGCACATAGAAAGGACCCGAAATGTGTAACTAGAAATTCTTATTGACCCAGTTAGTTGCTATGGCAGAAACTTTAAAGTAACAATGCATCATTTCCATTTTTCTCTAAAATATCAATTTTCTCACGGCTTAATCCAAGCTGATATGTACTCAGATTGATTTTTTAATATTTATCATTTATTTATGCAATCAAAATACCAATGCCAGATGATGTCATGGCTTGGATTCAATCAGATTTAAAATAGAACAATCAATAAATGTTCATGGACATCAAAATGGCGGTGGGCTTATTACATAGCGAAATTTCAAATGAACATATATCTGTAAATACTGAATGTAATTAAAAGAGCTAAATCGCTAACATTTGGGACCTAGAAATTGACAAAAGTGAGTCGCAACGCATATAATACTGTAATATGAATGTATATAAACTGATTTACATTCAATGGTTTCCGTTTTTACTCCAATTTCAAATCAGTTATGTTCGGCAAAATAAGCCAGCAGTCTCAAGCGATTGCAAATTTTTAGCGTCTGGTTATTCCAGTCTACATAGGCCGTTTGATTTGGTGCAATGTGTCTAGCCTCGTCCCTCGAGTCTCTTGATACAACTGGGGCTGAAGCGCATTATGGTACACGATTCGTGTACCAATGGTAAAATGTTTATTTTGTCTTAATTATTGGACATCAAAAGCCCATCTTTTTCCGGTAAGATCACAACATAAATGTTGATTTAATTTGACAAATAAATCGTGTTTTCAATGTTAAAGATTTTGGATGATATTGAGTTAGAGACTTAGCTACTTTAAGCGATATTAATTCCTATTTGAGATTTGTCTTTCACAACATTGTAGTTTGCAAGTGATTCCTATAGCATAGACTAAAATGATTTATCACCCAATAACACATTCTACAGCAGATATCATAATCTTGAGATTGGTCAATTAAAAAGGAACTACTTTTTGGACATATTCCTGAAGCAATGGGCCGAGAAATCACTCTCTAGCCATTGCTGTATTGAGATTGAAAACTTGAGTTTTTGACGGAGCGTTCCATTCTCATCGTCCAATCAAATCTCTCCGGAGTAAAATATAGGGAATTTTCATGACTTAACTGGGGTGACCTCTTTAAAAAAAAAATCCTAGTGTTTGTTAGTGCTGATTTCAAGAAACAATTTTGGATGTTGAAAATTCTTTGACTCAAATCTCCAATTAGAAATGCTTCCCTTACTGATATCTTCCGTCTTACTCCAGGCACAGTAATGGGTCGTTCTAAGCAGTTCCTTTGAGCAAGTTTTTTAGTCAGCTGACTACAAAAATGTTACTGGCCTATAGCTCCTTTAATTTTCACATAAACTGATCCCAAACTGTACAGCACATATAGCTTAACATATAATAAACAATTCCCATTGAATTAAAGTTGAAGCCTTACCACATAATTATATGATTTGATGAAACCCAACTGCTACACAAAATTTCTCTCCTATCCAACTTAAAATATCCATCCAGCCAGAAATAGCATGCGCACTCCGTCTCATGTGATCATATGTCACTTTCCATATATGGCATTCATAGTAAAAAAGAGTGTAGTAACACTGCCTTATAAGGGAAGCACTGGGCGGGGTTAAGACGTGCAATATTTGGCGAGATTTCTCCTGGGTGTCATGGCAGCTTGTACATTATAAAAAATATCGTTTTGACAATGTACATGTAGAACACATTACCACAACGAAAAACTGTTCGGTAACTATTCGAGTGGTCCAGTCTTGACTATTTGTGATAGAATTGCAAGGCCTTTTATTTTTCACCCTGATGAGACACTTTTGTCACAAATACTGTTAGTACAATGTACAAAACCAACATTATATATTTAGATGAAAAATAAAAGCGACAGTACCATTAAAATCCACAAACAATAAAGGTAACACCAGACATCAAAAAAATTCCCACAGTAATGCACATATAAAGTATAAGTCGCAAAATAACCTTGGTTTTATAGACATTCGGTGTAATGTCTGGATAATCAAATCATTCCAAATGTTTTAAGATATTTTCTGTATTAATGGTTTTAGTTGGTCTATAGATCTGGATTTGACCAATCAAACTAAGTATCTGATACATATACATATCTTTTGGCTTGGAGACACATCCAGTCAGTAGGACTTTCAAACATGTACAAAGATGACAACAAGTTCAGACTTATTTAAATGTATTTGTCGCAGTAAAAATGAAACAAAAAAACACAACAAAATACACAGCAAAGAAAAAGTTGGCTGAAAAGTCATAGGCCGAAAAGTCATAGGCCGAAATGTCCTGGTATGAAATGCCCACTGGCCGAAACGTCCTACATCCTAAAACTCTACATATACAGACACCCTCAAATCAACAAATTAAACATAATTAATTGAAATTAAATCAGTAGTTTTATAACCAAATAAAGGAGTTCTAGTCATATCAAAATATAATTTCCATAGAGAAAGAGGTTTGTTCTGACAACCAAGTTTCTGCCTATTGAACAGAAAGTTCAGAGCAAGGAGAATCTGGTTAGTGTAAACTGACAGCCAGTTGCCTTACTACAATCACTTTGACTTCAACTTAAGGCCAGCCAAAAAAAACCTTAATTATTGATCCATACACTTATTACTGTCATACTAGACAGGAGTAAAAGTGGTTTTAATACACTCACTTCAATTAAACTACAATATATGGGATTATGTGTCTTAAATTAGCCCGATAATAAAACTTATCAATCTTCTAGGAATAAGGCTGTTAGAAATTAAGCCAAATCTGCATACTGTTAATCTTCAGATCAATTAAAATCATCTACCAACATACAGAGCCATATATATATACTCTTCATTTCGTCGTTATACCCTCGCCCTACCATCGTCTCGTTGCAACAGGAACCGCGACTCATTGCTGAACCAAACTGTTCTCCAGCATTGCTGTGGCCATACCCCGTGTGTCTGGACCCATTGAAGTCGGACTTGACGGTGTCAGCGTATTTCATAACAACAGCACTAATGGGACGTCTGGCTCATAATGTGGTTTCACGTAAATGTCTATGGACTGTCTGGTCTGAGATCCTACGCCGTCCAGGAATGGCTTCTGCAGAAGAGGTAGTTGTTGTGAACCGTTTCCGCAAATAACGTAACCAGATGTGACGATCCAGGGCAGATGGGGTCACTCTTGTTTGGCCTGAGCTTGGGCGGTCACGTGTTGAACTTTGCTGTTCAATGGTACTATGGGAAACATTCAGCAGTCTAGTTACATTTGTCTGGTATTCACCTGCTTGTAACCGACCGATAGTGTAGTTGTGTTGCTCTTCGTTCAGATGTGGCATCACTTGGGTCGTTGAGTGTTTACATGTGTAACTGATTTTGAAACCGAGAACCCCAGGATTTTAAAAGCCTTAGATTAGGGTTTCATGTGTCTTGGTGCAATCAAGCGAAAACAAATTTCGATAAAAAGTATGACCAGTCACAATTAGTGACCCTACATTTAAAACCAATAATGAATTTTTTTTATCCTTACATAATGACATTAAAAACAAGTAAGATTTATGGAAACATTGATTCCATTCAAATAAAAAAAATGATGAAAAATGGGCTGTGCATTTCTTTTTTTGATGGGTATATAAACTGATTTTGTGTTCCACATATTCCAAAAATTAAGCTAAAATCACCCTGTTCATCATGTCAAGGTATTTTTTCCCAAGAATGGTTTAGGTAATTATAGGGATTGTGCTACAGGAACACCTGTCCAACCTCGTGGGTTTTGTCTGGGTCCTCCAGTTTCCTCCCATTGCTAAAGACCCCAATGTGCAAGCGAATTATTAAAATAAAATTGAACCATATGTTATTCCTGAAATGACCTAGTTTTTGTCGAGTGGATGTTAAACTACATTTCTCTCTCTCTCTCCCTATTGAGAAATGAATCTAGATACCTGTATGATACTGACAGAAGAAAATAAGACCATAACTGTCTAATGGTATACATGTATTTGGCAGCATTTCACTTCACTAGAAAATGATTTATTTTTTATTGACCGTTTTCCTCTTTAATATGGGGTTAGTAGATTAAAGTAGATGTTGGTCGTGTTAAGATTTATTACTGGTTAACTTTTAATATGTCTGTGTATATAGTTAAGTTAGTAATTATCGTAAGAAGAATTACTTAGTTACGTGCTATAAAGTATTAGTGCAGTTTTCACACAGCCACCTTAGACTAAAGTAAGGAAGATTAATGTGTGTTTGAACTTAGCTGAGTAATGTTTCATAAAATAAAACAGCAGATACTCACATCTTACGAGGGGCTCTTATGATTGTTATTCTCATGATATTAATAATAATAAATTTGATTAAGATTGCGATGAAAACTGGGGAAATGCATTACTTTGAATTTTTTTTTAAGCTAAATTTTCAACCAAACATGTAAGAGTTTTTTTCTGATGTACTGTGAAAGTAATGATGTTCCATTGACTATTTGTAAGGAATCCCTGACTTGACTAATTATTACATGTATCAATTGTGACAAAGGATATTTTGTGTTTAGAACTGCATGACACCATGATTTAGAATGTTAGTGATTGCCATTGTGACAAATTTAATTTTTGATTTCTTTTAGTTTTCTAGCAACGGATGCTGAAAGTCCACGAGATGAAGAACACCCGTCATATATTGCAGAGATAGTGTTTCGTGATCTGATTTGTCGTGCATCTTATAGTAGTATTAAATCTGTTGTTGGACCAGTTCTTATGTAAGTATAAATAGTATTATTCAAATTGTTTGTTTATTAAAGATGCATTATGTAAGATTTAGATAGAGAGATTACCGTTTTCTCTGTAACAGTTTAAAAGTAGAAAATGAAAAATCAATAACCTTATATTGAAAATTACATTCAATGTACTTTATTCTGGCAAAGTTATTAATTTTTGAAGTTTTGACAAGTACCATTATTTGCTACAATAAATTGATAAACAAAGTCTTGATTTTTCATTTTAACATTTAATGAAGATACGGCAGACATTGTTTTATTCACAGAATATCTCATCCATCCGACGCTCTAGAGAGTTTATTATGGGCTTGTTATGTTAATAAATGTCTAAATAATAATTTACATGACATTTGAAGCCAGAAAAGGGACCTGAAAGAGGCAGATGAAAAACACCTAAATGATAAACCTATGATCTGCTCCTTCGACAATTGAACCACCCAATCTACACTGTTAAATTTTTAATTCATCCTAGATAGAAAGAATATTCCAAAATTCCGTCTTGTTTTCAGTCTGTATTATTATGAATTCATGTTATTCTGTAGGATATTTTTATAAGACAATTACTGAGAATATTACTAATTGTCTAGTTCTAGTGCACCAAGGTTTTAAACATACATTATGCAAGAGCTAAATCTTCCTATTGCGGGTCTTTTTTTAGGTCTGAAATGTTTTCTAAATTATTAATTAGATATTACTGTAATTAATTTATCCAGGCCATAATCAACTCACAATGGCATTAGATTTCTCCAATATTAAATAGATTAGAATGGTTAAGCCATATTTTGATTTAATTTAAAAATGGAGGAGCGAGACTTAGCTTCGAACAACCAGTACGGTGGTTGAAATTATTGCACACGTCTTGTCAAACCTTCAAAGGCTAATATCTTCGCTTACAATAAAGTAATTTGAATAAAATTTTCAAATTATTCATTTTACATTATCTATTTTCGAACTATTATATACTAGTAAGAATGATTAGCTCTTTATCTAAATCTTACATAATGTATCCTTAAATCTGGTTTGAGAGTTTACAATAAGGGATGCCACAGAGCCAATATGTCATTACCCAGAGCACAGGTTTTTTTGTTCCAGTGTGAATGATGCTCCTTCAATCTCTGATGCCCATAGAGTATAATTACAGTCATTTGCCTGAAATTCTTTCTACATGTAGAATAAAAGATCTTTAAAATCAAGAAGATAAGTGTATGGTTGCTAATTCTTGATAATATGTGTCAGCCGGTTTACGATTATCCAGTGTAATTTATGATTGTCAATAACATTTATCAGGCTGCTTCCTTCTTCATTAGGACATTAAACCCCTTTTCATTTCATTACATTTTATCAGGTTTATGTCATGATAATTGAGCTTATGATGCACTTCCTGTTTCAACCAAAATCTTTTTTCAAAGTTAATTCCCTTGATGCAGTAATTAATAAGATTTTGGGGTTTATATTTGAGTTTTTAAGAGATATAGTAGTAACATATCTGCGAATAAAGAATTTTTTTTACATGTCACCTTATATATTCTAACATTAAATTAGTGGCTTTGTTTTTCTTATAATATTGGTGACATCAATAACTTATTTTCACTCTTATTTCCCCAGGCTACTCAATCTTATATAGAGTTGCCATAGATCATTTGATCATAACAACACGCACTGATCAATGCAAATGATCTGTGATCCATGTTATATCAGGTCATGTGGATGAAACATAACAAATCTCCATGTGATGGTAAATGATTGAGAATATCCAATCTTTAACTAATGAAATAATCTGCGATATATTGTAATATGTTGTGAGAAATTTGATTGAACTACCTTCTGATGTCATTACATGTATTTCTCAGAAAAGTTCTATATCGATTTGGTAAAATAGGAAAGAGAATTTTCACAGATTGCAAAAATATACATGGCTAATGGATTTAGATGCATAAAATAACTAGAATAATGGTAGTCATCACAGGTCAAATAAAGGATTGCAAAATATTAGTTTCTGTCATTATGAAAGTTGTATGGCTTCTGTCCTGTGTGAAATAGTGACGTCAAAAGGTCATTTATGTTGCATTTCTTACTGCAATAGATATTTAATGTCTCTTTTTATCTCTTTCAGACATTTAGATAATCATTCATTATGGGTGCCAAATCAGTTTGCTGTAAAATGTTTTAAAATCATCATGTATTCTGTACAGGTTTGTTTAACACTTTTTTTTTATCGTATGTGAAAACACTCATCTGAGCTACTTAGAATTAGGATTTGCAGCTGAAGTTGGTGTTGTGCTGGGAACATGAAGTATTCAGAATTCAAATTTAGTTAGTGCAAACAGACTATCAGTAATGCATTTCATAGTTACATGTATACGGTAGCTACATTTATACTATAACAGTTCAAGAAATTTTGTGATATATGTTTTATTTAAAAAAAACCCAGATTCCTTCAAACATCAATAACTCATCTGAAAACTACTACTTGTCTTTGTCATTGTCGATATATAGAGTGATTGGAGTTAATATCCACTCAACACAAACCAGGTCATTTCAGAACTATAATTTATTGCTATAATTTGCTTGCCCATAAGGGTCTTTACTCTTTAGCATTGGGAGGAAACAGGAGGATCTAGAGAAAACAGTGCAGGCAAGACTATTCCTTGTCACTCACAAGCTTCGGATCAAAACCATGTCGCTTGACTCCATGACAGACCTTATGATCTAAAGTGCATACTTTTTAGACCACTTGACCACTTGTCATATTTTGGGATACAATCTATGGGACATGGATATTAGTAAAATCAATAAAACATAAAGTAACTAATATAGATATAATTTGTATATTTTAGGCTCAGTATGGTTATATTGTGATTACATCGTTATTAGAACATCTAGATCATCACGTTAAAAGTGACCCTAATATTAAAGGGGGTATAGTTGGTGTATTATTCCAATCAGTTTTAATCTCAGCTGGTGGTTCAATAGGTAACATATACGTTTCTTGTTCAAATGTTTTGTGTCAAATATCTATTATTGCTATACCTTAGTAATCAATATTCGTTAAGATGACTAGATCTCTTTGGATTGAGTCAAAAATGAAATTGTTGATTCTGCTGGAGGTTAAATGTTGGGATGACAATCTGTTGTTGTTGAAAATTTTGCATCTTTTGATAAAGCCAGTTTTGAGACATAACTGATTTTTTGATGCAGCCTAAGCCAGAATTGAAATCAAATTTGTAAACAAGCTGATATTAGAAACCAAAATTTAATCATAAAGAGCATCCCCAATCAGAAACTATATCAAATAGGTTGAGCTCCTATCCTGTAAATCTATTAAAACAAATAGAATTGGTACATTTAGCATGTAAGTTTTACCTAATCGTGTGAAAAGGAATATAAGAGAAGCTAATGCAACAATTAGATCCTCTGAATTATGCTTTTTGATCTTAGTAATGATAATATTGTATTTTTCAGGTACTTCTGTATTAGAAGTATTTAACATTTTGCTACGGCATCTTCGTATATCTGTTGACAATAAAAGTCAAAATACAGAAATGAGAAATAAAGAAATTGAATTTGAAGATGAAGTAATTAACACAATAGGTAACATATAATAATTCCTATTTGGTATTTAAACTGTGGTAACATTCTTCACACAAGCAGGTTAATATTTCATATTATTTACTGGTTCTCAGAATTATGGTTACTGTATTATTCAAGAGCCTAAGAGGCATTTTATAAATATTTAATAACAACTTTGTGAATCCCTGTAAAAAGTGGCATTTACAAAATCATTGTTTTCTATAAAGCGACATCATACAATTTATATTATAGAATATTATATGTATTTTTAGGTCAGTTTGCTAATAATTTACCAGATTATCAGAAGATAGAGATCATGATGTTTGTCATGGGAAAATTTCCACAGTTTACCTTAGATGAAGACGTAGGGTAAGGCTAATTGTTTTAATTTTTGTTGATTGTTACATTAGCCACTTTTTATGGCTTGTGGGTTTGATGACATTTTCTATGTTTTTAAGCCATATTCCCAATTCCCATTCCCCTTTTTCAAGTCATGCTCCCAATTCCCAGTCTGAGCTCAATATTTAAAAAAAAAGGGTTATCTTGTTTCCAGGGGTGCTATGGATACCCAGCTACAGATGAATCTACTTAAAACATTATTGAAGGTGAGTAGAATAATACCTATTATAGATATAAACTATATTAATGATGGTGTATAATATATGGTTTCAGTTATTTATAAGAATGATTAGTTATTTCATAAAGTAGACTCTTTAAGAACTAATTCTAATTTCTGTATGATCCACTATCATGAACTAGTAATTATTACTTCCATATGTCTATCATGTTTTGTTTGATCTCCAATTTCAGTATTAAAGATGTATTGTATTTTTCAGGTGGCCACAAAGTATAAAACTGTGACATTTTCTAATACGTTCCCTCCTGAATTCCTTCATCCATTACTTCGTATGTCATTACTTGATGATCCACAAATGAGAGTCACAGTTCAAAATATCCTACAGACACTGATAGATCGTCATAACAACACAGCTAAGCTCAAACATGTTGTGTAAGTTCTATTTCCATTTCACCAATAATACATGCAGGCTATTACAAAATTATTATAGCCATTTGTGCCTATTATACTTGGAATACATTAAAGATACATTATGTAAGATTTGGATAAAGAGATAGCCATTTGATATAATAGTTCGAAAATAGATAATGTAAAATTAATAATTTGAAAATTTCATTCAAATTACTCTATTGCGAGCGAAGATATTAGCCTTTGAAGGTTTGACAAAATGTGTGCAATAATTTCAACCACTGTACTGGTTGTTGGAAGCTAAGTCTTGCTCCTCCAATTTTAAATTAAATCAAAATATGGCTGAACCATTCTAATCTATTTAATATCGGAGAAATTCGATGCCATCGAAAGTTGATTATGGCCTGGATCAATTAATTAATGTCTAATTAAAAATTTAGAAAACATTTCAGGCCTAAAGAAAGACCTGCAATAGGCAGACTTAGCTCTTGCATAATGTATGTTTAATTTTGTGATTATTAAATATTTTGGATGTTTAAATTTTGTGATTAGTTGTCCAGCATGATTGTTGTTATCAATCTGTCTTTAACCATACTACACACAGCCTTTAAGTGTCTTGGTAATGCTGCTTATTGTAAGCAACATCATTTTGGTTGCCAACTAGTTCAAGAAATTGAGTTTTCAAACCCTGTATTTGAGAAATGTGGGTGTTTGAAGAATATGGTAGGCTGTAGAAAGCTATAATACAGTATGCTTTTATTTCGTGTAAAGATGTAATTGGTTTTATTAAAGAAGGCTAGTCTGTAACTCAATATCATCCACAGTCTTCGACATTGTAAACCCGATTTAGATTTACATTGATGTTGTTATCTTCTGTTATACTTAAGACAAAATTAAAATTTTTAAATTAGTGCACGAATCCCATACCAGAATGCTTTTGAGCAAAATTTGTAATAAAGTGACTTGATGAACGAGGCTAAACATATCCCACAGGAGAATACTACCAGTGTAGACTGGAATGACCAGATGCCAAAGATTTACAGTAAAATCAGAAACGATTGAATGTAAATTAGTTTATATACATTCATATATCATTATTATATGTGTTGCAACCCATTTGTGTCCATTTCTAGGTGCCAAAGAACGGAATTTTTGCTCCTTTAATTAATAACAATATTGCCGTTTTAAGTAAATTTTTAATTTCTGTTTTCTAGTCTGCCTGGAGATGTTTCACAACTAGATCTAACAACAGAAAAAGCTTCACGACAAGATATACTCTTTATGAAGAAGGTTAGTAAATAGAACGATAAGTTGACAGAGAATAAGGTATAAAATAGATATTGTTTCCATTTAACCATGTAGCGTAATACTGACCACTGCAAATTATTTATTGAGTTTGAAAATACATTGTACACAATATATTTTTATCATACTAATATTAATTGGTTACAAAGAAAAAAGCAATATTTTCATAGACAAATTGGCCAGTATGCAATATCCTAGATATTCAGATACATTGGGACCAGAATGTAATTGAAATGGGGTTTGACATTCTACTCTTCTGCTCCATATCGCAATTAATGAAGATGGGTATATGCTATACCATGAAGTGTTCAATGAGGGAAATTTTGCCTACTTTTATATCGAATTACACCTTTCAAGGGTAATTTTACATGCATGACAAAGTGTACATGTTCCCTAAGAGTCCCATCCGATTGACTAGGGGATGTTCCTTGTTAGGTCCTTTGTCCTGGGCCCTGATTCACAAAATTTTAACTTAAGATAAAATCCAAATTTTAGTAGATACCTCAATTTTGATTGGCTAAGCACTAAAATCAATCTAATATTATCCAATCAAATTACTAAAATTTGGATTTTATCTCAGTTAAGTTTTTGTGAATAAGGGCCCTGGGGAAACCAGACAGTAAATAACTTTCTCTGAAATCGCCGGGATTGAACCCGGAACCCCCAGATTATACGAGTCGGCGCCTAACTCACTGAGCCAGTGTATTCGAGGTTCACTATTAGGCTGGTTTCAATACAAGACTGGGATTAATAAAATTGCTCCAAGAAGTTCCTCTTTTATACAATCTCACAGTGGACTCTTGAATGCTGTTGTTTAAACCTGGCCTTATTTGAATTATTACAGAGTGGTATGCAGTTCTATTGGCATATTTATGAAAATATGCAGATGCCAACTAATAAGGTGGATAATTTTGAGGCATTATTTTGTACAATGAGTTTATTGGCTATCGAATTGGGTGATGCTGAGATTCTACTAGAACTCTTACGATTGGCGCTTGATATACAGGTTAGTGTTCTTATATAGTAATCCCATGTCTGTAATATCACAGTACGCTTGATAACTTGTCTATATTCAATCAGTGTCAAACCTGATGTGTTATACCTTGATATAATGAAGATGAATAACCTCATACAATATCACAAATCTCCTCCTTTACTGAATTTCAGCGGTTCAGATGTTTGTTTATTTCTGTTTCCTTAGCACCACAAGATACATAACATATGTTTTTATCCACCATGAATAGTCAATTCTCTGCTGATCGAATATAGATCTGTCACATTGTTTCAATTCTCTGTTCATAGAATATAGATCTGTCACATTGTTTCAATTCTCTGTTCATAGAATATAGATCTGTCACATTGTTTCAATTCTCTGTTCATAGAATATAGATCGGTTACATTGTTTCAATTCTCTGTTCATAGAATATAGATCAGTCACATTGTTTCAATTCTCTGTTCATAGAATATAGATCTGTGTTTCAACTGAGATGTGTATTTATGTATTTCAGAAAATGGTGGTTACTAGCGCTGGTTTACCTATTACACATAAATGTGCTATACATGGTTTAATAGCTGCCTACATTAATATTCTAGCTTATTTATCATCTATATCATCATTAGCTGAATATGTTCAACAGGTATTATTAATTAGTATGCATGGACTCAGGGTTCTAGATATGTAGCTATAAAGTCTTCTTTAAATGTACTGTTTAGTAATTGAAGTTATTAAAATAAAAACAAAAGTTTTATCAAAAACAATTACTGTATTTTAATCGCAGCTATGTTTCTACCATGGTTCGCTGTAGAAATGTAGTTGTGATTAAAGATTAAATTACTTTAATTGTTTTACACAGAACTGTTGTGTTTATTTTCTAGTTTGAATCCTGGTATTTTGTAGCTTGGTTCCTTAATACAAGAAAGCTTAATGTCCTTATGACGGTTAAAACAAAATTTTAACTTAGAGGATTTCTTTTCAATATAGAAATATATTGGTCCACTTAGAAGTTGAATGTATTAAATAATAGGGTTTTCCAGCAGCTATTATATTCATCCTGTTATTCTCATAGTTATTACTGAAGGAGACATTAATATTTTTGAAGATACATGTATCTGATATATTTTTTTGTCGAAAATGTATATTCCATTGAATAAAATTGTGATAATGTTTAAAATAAATGTTTTATTCTTCAGGTGATTGAAACCAGAAAAACAGAAGCCAAATGTTTATTACCTGATTTTGCCTATAATAGAAATAATCGTCCTAACAGGTATGATATAATATTTGATAAGTTACATAATAATTTCAATAATGATTGAGTTATCTAATCTCTGCTTTTATCTTTTCTTTTTCTTTACTATTACAACCTATAGTTTTTACTGAGAAAACTGCCATTATATTTCTAATTAATCGTACAATTAATAATATTACCACATGAAATGCATTTGATAATTCTTTTTGAAGAAATACCGAAACACTGGATAGTTAAACACTAAACAGACATCAAAGTGAAAAAAATTACACTCTTCTTATTTATTTGAAATTTTCTTCATAATGGTATCATAAAACAAAGATATATCTCTTTCCATTCACAGATTTGAGAATTAGATTTCATCCATTTTAATTGGAATTTGTTTTCAAATAATCTTTGTTTTGTTATGTTTATTAACTAATTTTCTGTTGCCATGTATAACATAAGAAACCCTTCTTCTTTTCAAAACTTCTATTTTTAATAATATTTATGTAATATTGGTTGATTGAACTAATTTGACACCATATTCTACAGATTATCTGATTTAGAAAATTCTGAGGAGTGAGTAATCTATCTTCTATCGTTCTCTTCTTATTATCTTTCTAATTTTTTCATATTCTGCATGCTTTAATACACAGGCACTAAAATTATTCTTCAAAAATATCATCTCTATATATAATTCATATATGAAACTTGAAGAACAAATTCTGAAAATTAAATGGTCATAATTACATACTCATCATATCACTATACAGTGCCCTAAATGAAGCTCAAATCGTACTTTATGGAAATATAAAAAGTCAAATTATCATGTTTAGAAAAAGCTTGAACTATAAATACTTTATACTAAAATAATATTAACAAGCAGTCATTACAGATAAGTAAGAATATTAAATTGATATGGTCATTTTTTAATCATAAGTGCCTGGTATTTAGGTGTGCTTTTTAAAATTTCTGCTTTTCATTTTAACTTTATATCACATTCACTGTTCATAAAAATATGTTTAGGATGATTTTCTCTTCATATTTTACTTTCTACTTGTATTTTTGAAATGTTCAATAGATTTGTAGGTATATGTATTGACATCCTTTGAGATTTGTTTTGTAAAAGCTGTTTTAGAAATGTTATGTGAGCATTTATACAAATATTGATTAAAAAATATTGTACTGGACGTTTGTTGTAGCTGTAGCCAAGATTATCTAGTTCTATATCTTTAGTAGTTTCTTTATATACACAGCCTCCAGGAAAAGAGACAAATTTAAACAGATCTTAGTATCTTATAATATCCTAATCTAGGGTCCATGATGCAGGAGCTTCACACTGGGGGCATTATCATCTAATTCAATTTCAGCAAAGTGTTTTCTTTGCAATGTTTGTTTCGCAAGCCAAGAGAACTTAATACAATACATACTTTATTTGATGATGACAAATGGTCTAGCAAATGCTGAAGTTGTACCTGATATATTTTTTAACTTTGTGCCAAACATGTCTAAAAAATTATCGTCAAAAAAAGACAAATTTGTGGATGGCAAAATTACAGGCACGAGAAGCATATTGTCTGACAAAGCCTGAATTTGTACCTGATATTGTTTGTTACATGGCTTATTTCAAGGCTTGCAATTGAAAGTTATCGTAATATTACATTGGCTTCTATTGACTGTGGGGCTCCTTTTTTTTGCAGCGCTGCTTATTTTTAACTGACTTACAGAAACGGTCATGGCATCTTGGTTTACAGATGGCAGCTTAATGTGTCAGCTAATTTAATAGCTAATTTATCTTCTATATAAAACAGATCTGGAAAATTCTTCTTCTGCTGGACATGCTAAAGCGTGTACAGTTTTGGGTTTCCATGTATCATTTAATTTTTCAAGAAATGATGTGCATGATAATGATTGATTGTTTATTTCTCTAAAGACTTATGTTATATGCATGATGATGAATAATTAGTATGGTAGATTGAAAGATTAAATGTTGAAAGAGACTGATTCATAATACAGATTCATATTCACTGATAGAAGCCCTTAATAATTTGCTACTACAATTGTAATCTGATGTAAGACACGACCTAGTGAAATGATTGTGTTAAGTTTGTATTAGAAAGAAAAAATGATTAATTTCTATTTCATCAATCATATATATTTATAATGTGTTAAGGATAATCATCAAGATATCTCAACAAATCTGAGTCTAGAAGTTGATTCTTTTGAAAAACTGTTTGAAAATCAACAAATTTCTGAGAACAAATATGAATATTTGCCTTGTTGAATGAATGATATTCAAAAATAACATTAAGCAGAGGCTAAGTAATATAACTAAAGTTGATTATGTTCATATAAGTATAAGGGAGATAATCATTTTCAGGGGCAAGAAACAAAAATTATGTACCATCGTCTTACTCTTTAATTGTCTACCTGACACACTTGATATCTTTTGTTTCTTATGTTTAGTATTGAGAAGTGGTTTCAGACAAGTTATTTGCCCCTGACATCATAGGTGTACGAGCCAGGGGGCCCCTAACTTTCGGGCAATTTGACTTTTTGAGCAGTTGGCAAAATAAAGTGCCCGAAATCTAATGAAACATTAATTCTACTTTTCTTTAATTGAATACCATGAATTTGTACTGACTTGACTCTGGAGCTACTCTACTTTGTGCGACATTTTTCGGGCATTGATTATTATTTGTGAATGCTGCTGCAACAGTCCGATTGGATGGTTGGAATTCAGGTTGGCGTAGAGTGGGATTTCGGTTGCAAAACGATTGGAAACTTCGAAGTTGCTTAAAGATACATTCCCGCGTACAAACTGGGTGATTTGATGATATACTTGGACTAAAAACATATTCAAACTAATTAATTTATCATAATTTTGCTTCAAATCCTTCTCAAAACATTGTAATTGCCAAGGAATACCCTGCTTTAAAAATCGATCAAAAGAGGTCATGTTTGTGTCACATGACTTACCTATCTCGGTACCTATAGCAACGGGGGCGAAGTCTGAGGAGAATTCATTGTATACACAAGACGATGTTGTCTTTAATCGCTGACTATTTATTACAAATATCGAATCCAAATTAAATTCTCGGATTATCCACTGCCCGCGTCTTTTTCCGTGGTTTTTATCTCAGAAAGTGTTGTACGTCTAACTCTTCATAAAGTTAAAAAACATGTACACCAAGCGCCCAATCTTCGCGTGCAACCTTCGATGTCACGCGTGCAGGTATTCCTAATCGTCAGGCTGTCGATTAGGGGAATCCTTACATGTTTGTCCTGTATACGCTTAATGAGTGTTTTTCAGGGAATCCAGTATTTTTCTAGTAAGATAGGATCTGTACTTTCCATATATACCAAAATTGCCATACTTTTATTGGAAATAACCACCCGATAAAATACTTTTCTGGGAACCTATCTTTAACTTGGTTCATTGGGATTTAGGTCAGCCACCCAAGGTGGACTATATTGGACCACATTGAAGTTGCTGTATTCACGAGCTAGAATAGCAGGGAAATGTGTTAACAGCAGTTAAATTTTCAAAATTTTCTTCCACAGCCCAATCTCTGTGGACTGTAAATGATTGATTGATTGATTGGAATTCGAGTCAGCCACCTAAGCTAGGCTATATTAGACCACTAGCTGTATTCATGGGCTGGAATAGCAGGAAAACGTGTTTGCGGCCATAAAATTTTCTTTGGGCAGGGTGTCCCTAGATGGTAGGCCCCGCTTCTTCGCACCTCGGGCATTTCATGTTCTGCCCCCCCCCCCCCAACATTCATCGAGCCAGTACACCTATGCCTGAAATTGATTATCTGCCTTACATGTATATGATTATGAACATAATCAGATTTTAGGCATAATGCTAAGCTTCATCTTTATGTTATTTTTTAATGAGATTTTTCATTATACAAGCACCTGTGATTAGTAGCTTGAGCATTGTATAAAATATTCATCCAATAATTTTATGTCATTATTTTAATTATGAGCACAAATTTATATAAAACATCCATTGCCTTACATTCTACAATACACAAATTAATTATATACCTTTGCTTGGAAACCCTTCATTACCCTTGTTTTCACTTATACTAAGTCCATTATCTTTGGATGTCTACTTTAGAATTATATTTGAGTGGGATCAGTATATCGTTCAGAGTACTTTAAAATGTTTGAATCTAATTTTCAGTTTTCCTTTTCTATGGAATGAGAACATTTCTGTTTGACCTAGATGTTGATATATTTTTTGATGTTGATTTGTTATGTTTATACTTCAGTTATCGATCTAGTGACCTTGTAAAAGAGAATTGTTTGTTTGATCAGAATAAAATAGCTGAATGTCTATCGAGTAGTGGGCATGATGCTTCCAGACTTTCATCTTCATTCATACAGAAACCATATAATGCAGGTTGGTAACTTTAGTATGCAAAACAAAATAATAAGTATGTGTATGTTCTTCACTATTATTGTACATTATGTGATTCATAAATTTTAATTGCCAAAAAGATATTCTGTGTTACTATTTGCCTGGTATGACCTAAAAATCTTGAAGTACGTGTCACTTTACTTAGTCTGATTACCTCAGCAGATCCAAGGATCTGACAACAAGATAAATGTTAAATGTTTTTAATATGTGAATATATCTACAGAAGTAAAGATTACAGATAAACAAAATGTAAATGGCTTCAATCTAAATTATGTCTGGTTTGATTATTGGTCTGGATAAAGTAGCATTTATTGCATACATCATGTAATGGCTTCTGGGAAATGTCTCAATCGACCAGTTAACATTGCATTCTGCATACTGCCAACACAAGGGGATGGTCATATTTCCTGTCAAACAATCATATTCTGATGAAATCTCTATATTCCTTTTGACATTGTATATAGACAATTCATACTATTTTGCTGAAGTTGAAGTGAAGACAATTTGGGCTGAAGCTATTGAAACTCAAACCCTCCAATCAATATTCTGACATTTGCTATTATAACTGATAATATATGTATATATATATATTATAGAAATGGGTGGTGTTTCTAGAAGTATCAGTGATATCCAGTCAATTAATATAGAAATAGAGAGTGTTGATGGTTCACCTTCTACATATAGGGTAAGTTCAAACTCTGTCGCTTGTCAGTGGTGCAGGACAGGGGGCTGACAAGGACAGCTGTCTAGTCGTTCGGATAGTATTTAAAACGAGATCCTGTGTACACATTGGCATACACATAACAGATCCCTTAGCAGTTGGAATTCAATATAGGCCTTAACGCTGCTGTCTAGGCAAAATTTCCCTCATAGTACACTATATTGCATATGCCCGTCTTCATTAGCCCAGTCAGAGCAGAACATTTTCATTTCATTTCAAATTCTTACATATATGTTTCTATGGTAACTGTTGATGTTTGCTGAATGCATAGGTAGTTGTGTCACAGTAATCACAACTGGGATGATCCTAGAATGGCTTTCATAATTCATTACTCCTGGTTTCTGGGTAAGTGCCAGCAGAGTTGACAAATCTGCATGTTACCAATTCACACATGGTACAAAAGCCGAAATCTAATGTACCAAATGCTTATGTAATATGAAAAAAAAATGATTCAAGTAATGTTTTAGCAAAATGAATCACTAATGTTATAATTATTATTGAATGTAATATCTTAATCTGTTTACAGAAACAATATGATGAGGAGATAACGGTTGAATCTCTGAAGAAAATGTTAGGTAAGGGAAGTTCCTTGATAACTTTATTTGTATAAAGAATAGATACGTTTCTTTGTAAAATCAGTAAAGTTTTAAAATTTATAAACCAGGCAGTGTCATTACCAATTATGAAATCTTAAGTTTACATTTAATACCTACAAGAAAATGGTTGAATTTGTGTTCTGCTTTTCTAAATATAGTATTTATATTTGTATATATATATTTTGAAGACAAGACTTTAACATAATATGTCATTTGCAGTTATTGAATTACCTGTATTTATTTAAAAATGAAAAAAGTAAATATTTTAATCTAATTACAGCTGAGAGCAGTGGTGCCAATAAAGAATCTGAGGACAAACGTAGACTTGAAATTCTGGAAACCTTCCGTACAGCACCATTTGAAGAAATTGTAGCAAGATCTGAAGCAAAAGTAAGTTGAGCTTTGAACCTTGCAACTTAACATTACTCAATCACCAAAATTATGTTGCATATTTGCATACATATAGTAGATTTGGGTTGAGCATAGTGATTAACTAACACATAGAATGTTAAGTACATTTGCATAATAAAGCAACAATTTACTTTAATCAGCCACAAAAAAGTTTCATTTATCAACTTATAAAGTACATGTGCAGTAATTCAAAATTTCAGACGAGTCAAAAATTTAATGTACCTATCTCTGAACTAAGTAATTGTACAGTGTTTTCCAAACAGCAAAATGAGTTATTGAAATAAAAGGGTTCCATATGATAGTCATAAAATGACCTAGTTTGTGTTGAATGAAGGTTTATTCCCATTTCTCCCCCTTTCTTGCAAAACTAAAATTAGAGTTATCTACCTTTGGTTAAACTGTTTATTGGAAATCTTTTTGCAGTCAAACCACTTTCACAATAAATTGAATGAAATACTGGATAATGTTGAAGATCCATCTGAACGATTGCTGACAGAAGAAAATGAAACAGACAGTCAGGCTACCATCCCAGTTTTCCAAATGCAATTCCCAGATTTATTTGTGTATTAAGTAACCATAGTTTTGTACAAGATTATAAGACATACTTTATGGAAGACAAATGAAAACAAATCGTGACTTATAAATTATATGTGCCATTATTATTGTACTATTTCGTTTAGCTAATTGTAAACATAAAAATTAAAACACAATGGAGTAAATGTTACCCGAAGGGGAGGTGATAATAAATGTACGCTGAAATTAATTTATGATAATAATGGACTGCTGCATGAGTGGCTACTTGTAATTTTAACAAAGAAAGTAGTGGACCATGATCAATTTATATTGATATACCATCTAGATTAATCATAATAATTATGATTTGAATGGTGTTATATTTGACTGGGTAGATACCCTACACTATAGTCCAAAATAGGGAATAAATTTAATACGACTGGAAATTGGTCACATTCTTGTATTATAGTAATATTTTACACATCAGTTAGTATATAGATATGTACATAAAATTCAAGAGATATTAAATAACATTTCATCAATGGAATTACAAGTTAAATCTATGTTTTTTATATTGACATAACATGACATGACATTAATTGACATTCATTTGACCTTATTTTCTAATTAATTAGTAATAATTGCAAGCTCATGTTAGATAAACTAGGTTATAAGCCAAAGTAAGACTCATAAGTATATGCTCAAAAATATGCATTATGCACAAAACATATACAATATTTTCTTTTCTTCAAATATAATATGTATGTGTATTTGAGAAAATGTTAAAACACATTTATTGTAAGCAATTTAGATTTTAAATCCATCCCTACATACTAGAATAATAATTATTTTTAAAGATCCTCATGCACTATTCTAGTCTCTTCAAGTATTGTTTTAATTAAGTCATTTTTATTATTGATTACCTTTTAAATATACATAATATGCACATTTTGTTAGTGTACATATTCATTATATACTTCTTCTGTATACATTTGTACTTAACTGATACATGTCTTATCATTAGAGTCACTTGATTCTGGCACATTGTAGTGAAGATAGAGACAGACAAGTGTTCAAATACATAGACCTTTTCTGCATGAGTGGCATATGAAAATCAAGTAGGACCATCATGGTTATATTTAATTTAACAGGGGACTACTTAATTGTCAGCCTTGAATGTCCTAAATCGATGAAATTGCAATCGACAGACACAGAATTGAATTTTGTTACAGTTCTGCAAATCCTGAAAACAGATGTGGTGTTTCAGCTATGGTGATTGGCTGGGATATTATAATATTCAGTTAGTGCAAGTATTGTCACTAGACATGCACATGCTAAATCGATTGAAACCTTAGGAGGGATTGAGATAATTCAGCTGCGGGATGTTAATCGAGTAACCCTTTGATGCTCCTCCCTTAGATGAGCATGAGCTTGATTATGTGAGTGTAAATTGAATAGTAATGAGCCACTAAACAGAAAACTATTTGTTCATTGATAGAATTATTATATGGTGTAAATGAAAGATTTGTTAGAAGTTAATACTATAATTTATTTATATTTGTAAATATATTATACGTCTGTTTGTATGTATTCTGCATAGTAATAGCCTTTTAAATAAGAAATTTGTATATATAGGATGGTTTGTGGGGGTTTTAGGGTATCGTGTACAAAAGTGCAACGAAAATTGTAGGTTTAAGAAGGGATATCGGGTGTTGTAGAATTGAAGCATACCCTGCCTTGTGTATGACACACATCACTAATTCAAGATATTTGTGTGACATATTAGCCTTTGCTTAATTTAATTTTTACAATTAAAATTTCATTCATTTGAATATTTACCTTCTGCAACCTGCACATTATTTTAAGAATTTCCTTTGTATAAAGGTTAAATAAAACATTTTGCCTTTTTTTTCTATTGAAGACTGTCCATGAAACAGATATATATATATATATTTTAATTAGATCTCAATTTATTCAAAAATTATCTCTGTTGCAATAGAGATGTGTCCTTAAAACTAACATGGAATAATAAACATTTTTCACATCTTAGAATCCATATTTGTTACTTGATGGGAGTTTTAAGATCAAATTGTCATTGATTTATAGATTTAAATTGACATTTATTTTAGATTACTGCAAATGTCAAATATTTTGATGAATAATTTTTCCAATCAAATAAACTTGCGTTAATCTAAATGAAAATCAATAAAAAACCGAAGTACGTACAATGTTAAGAGATGTAAAGGGGAGATAACTACAGTGACTAGAGGTTACAGTGAAGCTATTTGTGATAAAAAATAGATACATATTGTGCAATAATTACAATTGTATACTGAATATCATGATTAGCCTGGACTTATTGTTTATATGTAGGACATCATGTCAAGTATACAATGCTATGTATGTTTAATATTTATTTTGTATCTGTTTGTTTGTATCAGTGTCATTCATTATATATCCATTCCTGCAGGAATTTAATGAAATATCAACACATTTAAGTTCAATAATCATGTTTTGTAATATTTTAATTTTAAAATCATTTTAATCAGATAGAATTTGTATAGCTTCATTCCAATTTCAATTTTCAACACAAAATTGATTGTATTATATATCCACAAAACAGTTATTTAATTATTGCTTGTTGAAGTTAAATGAATAGGTTTTTTTTGTTGGTTTTTTTTAAATTGACTCTTAAGTGTTTCTAAACAGCTCATTGATATTATAGATTTATGTAATAAGCAATCTTGATTGTCACTCAGTTACAGATAAAATAAATCTAATCATCATAGTGCATATAATATTATTTTGAATAATTGAAGAAAACAATTATTGTAAGTAGTTTTAAAAAACATGTATCTGATTTGTATCATACTCCTGGGTTTGCAGGAGAAGGATCTGTACATGTATAGCTATTGCTTCAAGAATATAGCATGACACTCTGATAACTATTGAATCAAGGGTCAGACCTAAATATTAAGGCAACCTACTAATGTCATCAAGGTCACGAGATGTAAACAGGGTTAGAGCACATGATTTTTGCTGAGGATTGTGGGTTAGGGTTAGCACTAGCCCTGTTTACATCTCGTGACCATGACAAAATCTGTAGGTGGTCGTAATATTTAGATCTACATGTAACTGTTTGATCATTGTTTCTTACGTTTTTTTTAGTTGGCCAACAGTACATGTACATAAAAATCTAACTACTTTCTTTTAAATTTGAAGTGTAATGTTACGCACTGATACACTGTGATTGATTTATATCATTCTTGGCTAGACCATCATCCATTTCAGCATCCATTTCAGTAGCTTAATGAACGGTAAGGTTAAATCAATTGAAAACAAATATTTTAAGATGGTTTTGGACCTTTCTGTAGTGTAACCACAGAGGTGTATTATATCAACACCTTCATGAGTGTTAATGAAAATCAATAAAACAAAAAAAAACAAAAAAATATGCACCCTCAAAATATAAAAGAGCCCTGTTAAAGATTAGATTCCTGTGCTACTCCAATTGAAGCTTTAAAACTGGTGACATTAAAGAACCAGCTAAGAGATATATGAAATTTCAAGCCATCCATTCCACAGGCACTTGAAGGGATTAAAATAAAACTTCTTACTACTGCTTGACTATATATTATAGTATATTATAATATATAGTCAAGCAGTAGTAAGGGGATTAAAATAAAACTTCTTACTACTGCTTGACTATATATTATAGTATATTATAATATATAGTCAAGCAGTAGTAAGAAGGGGATTAAAATAAAACTTCTTACTACTGCTTGACTATATATTATAGTATATTATAATATATAGTCAAGCAGTAGTAAGAAGTTTTATTTTAATCCCTTCAAGTGCCTGTGATCCATTCTAATGTGAATACACTATGGCTTAAGGTAATGTATCTAATACTGATGTTGCTTTTTGTATTTAAGAAGTAACTAGTATTAAAACATTAGATAATAAATCTAGATTATTATCAAAGATTTGAATACAATAAAAAATTTTAAAAATTGATGTTTTAAGGATTTCTTTTTCTAATCTATCAATATTCTGTTAGGTCTGTTAGTGTGATGTGTAAAATGTCCATGCCTTACACACCAAGGGAAATTTAAAATGGATTTGTTTAGACCTGGTTGATGTCAATCTGTTTTTCAAAATTTTAAAATAGATAAAGCCATTGTAGAAATAAAACTGATGTAGGGCAACAATGAAAGCAAATGTAGTAAACAAGATGACTTCGCTTGATCTTTCCAAACAAAACAAAAAGAGGAACACATCCGCCAGAGAACCATGCAGAAATCGATATTATCTGTGGTCAGGCAAAGTAACAAAAGTCCAAATCTCACTGTAGGAGAGTTGGATCAGGAAAAGCAGTTGTCACAAAAATGTACCCGAACTTCAAATGCTCATCATACAAAGGGGTTTTAAACATAATCAGGCTCGGCGGGATAGGGAGGGTTAAGCCCCCCCCCCCCGCCTGCCCCCAATAATTTGGTCGCAAGTAGTCTTTTATCCAGGTTATTGCACAAAATCAGATAAAATTAAAATTGTCTCTAGAGGGTCCACAACCTTTGTATTACATACATTTACACTATTAGCATAAAGGGTAGCGGTCATTCGACGGAAAGTTTCGGTTCGACTTTCAGGAAATACGGACTCAACCATAATTATGGTGTAACTGTGATATATTTGAACGGCTTTACAATCATTACAATTTGGGCCACGAGCTAAAAATGTGATTTTTCGTACAATCACGGGCCATAATCCAAGAAGTTACTATCGTCAGGAAATGAGACCTTTGGGTTATAAACATACATTGTAAATTTCATCCAAATCGGATAAAAATTGTGAACTCTGTGTCCACAACCTTGATATTATTATGCACAAAATTGTCCAGTTCAGCATCACATGAAAGCACCATCAACTGCAGTGCTTTTATTGTACGGGATTTAAAAAAAGAATTAAAACTTGACTTCATTGCTGAGTAATTTTACTACCCAGAAATCGCTTAGAAAGCGTCGATCTAGATCCCCGAGAGCCTCCGGGGCCTACCTAGGCGGCCCCTGGACCCTCTCCCATCGTCCTAGGATGGTAGCCCCCCCCCCCCCAACCAATCAAGTATTGCTTCCGCCGGCCCAGACAATAGAAAATATTAAAGGGGAAACTGTCGATTTTGGTACATGCAACCCATTGTCGAGTTAAATATACTGTCCCTTTTTACAACTTGAAAATAGCAGCAACGTCAGCTGTATCTACTTTTTTTACGGGGGTGTGAAGTAATGAAATCCGAATCGATGCTCTTGAAAACCTCATCCCCTACTAGAAAGGTAAAAAATAAAAATGGTAGCAACGCTTCATGTAAGTCATTCGTACGGCCTCGAAAATTGATAAATTTGCTATTTCCATAATGTTTATATGTCTTTATCTGTGCCCTGAGGGGAAAGTAGATGACCCAAAGACTTTCGCTGAACCATTTAATCAGTTTCAGACGCTCGCACAACTCTCAAATTGGCTGCGAGCCGTCGGTGGGGTTTTGGACGCTAGTCGAAGCAGCTGCGAGTATCTATCTGGGAAGTAACAAACGAAGTGGAAAACAATAAATGGTGCATTTTCAGAGCTTTGTTTCCAACGATTAAATGCGGATTACATATAGCTTATGTAAGAAAGATATTGTAGTACTATGATCTCTGCGACCATACTATATCTTTCACTAATTATTGGGTTCACATGTACATGTATGGTAGAGAAGTCAAATGAATAAGTGATGGGTTGACACACAAAAAGATTTATAATTGGATAAACATAGCCGATTCTGGGTGAAACCAAAATATCATGTTTATCACGAATGATAGAAAAGTTATCATTCCATATTCGGCATGATTGACCAATCACGTGATTAATTACATCATAATTAGCCAATAGAATAATTAATAGCGGTGAATCTGAAGTATATAACAAATAGAATGTGCGCTCTTGGGTAGACAGCCGCTAGATTCTTAGAGAAATATTTGGGAGATGCCGCTGAGGTTGAAGAGACACCATCTGGAGTCAGAATGCCCCGTTAGGTCGTAGTAGCGCCATATGATATAGTGTGTTCCGTCAGTAAACTCGATCTGCGAATTAGGGGGTGGAGAGAAAGACATGTTAATCTTAAGTATTGTAATGTAACCTAAGCGTGTAACCTATGTATCCAGTGCTTGATATAAAATGTAGACACGAACTGTTGCAGTGTTATTCCTGGTAGATAAAACGTCTTAATTACTGAGGTAGTAAGAAGAAAATACATAACGTGAAAAGGGGTCCTAGACATAAGAAGAGAAAAAGAAACAAATATAACCAGAGACATTACTAGACGGTCACAAAGCTATTAAAAATATGTTGCAGAAGAGAGTATGCATCACACTTCGGATGTGGGTAGTTTTGCCGTTGTACTTTCCACATCTGACCAGCGGCGACTTAATAATCGGGATTCCTTTATTTCGCACGTATTTTTTCATTCTGTTGTAAAAGTTAGAACTACCGGAAAATTCACATGTCTTCTATTCACTCAATTCATTAAATATTCTCTTATATGTGTTAATAATTCTACACTGAATTACTTTTAAGTGAATTTTAGCTATGTCTTCCTGATGAACTCTAGATCCAATCGGTCTATTATTTTTATATATACTATTCAAAAAAAGTAGGGGATATTTGATTTTTAAGTGTTATTAAAGTCACCTAATGAAACTGACGAAGAAACAAATGACAAAATGAAATGAAGTTCACATTCATCGATTTATTCCAAATGATCGTTAGACTAAGTAAGGCACAGACTGATCATTATAAGGGTAAAATGATACCCGGGGTCAAACAGCAAAGTTACCACAGCATCACAACCAAGTCAGTAACGGGTAAATCCTCCTCTGTTTGCCAAACAAGCATTGATCCGACGTGGCATACTCCTAATGAGACGTCTAAGGTCATTTTGGTCCAGATTGTCCCATTCCTGTTGCAACGCAGCAGCAAGTTCTTGGACATTGGCACTACGTTGTTGACGTTGACGTAACCTCTGTCCAAGCATGTCCCAGACATGCTCGATGGGGGAGAGGTCGGGACTCAGTGCTGGCCAAGGTAATGTGGTGATGTTCTGTTGTTGGAGGTAACCTGTAACGATCCTGGCCCTGTGACATCTTGCGTTGTCATCCTGGAAGATGAAACGGCGGCCATGACGTCGTGCGAACGGCACAACATGGACTGCCAAGATGTTGTCCCGGTAGTACTGGCCTGTAACACGCCCTGCAACAACATGTAAAGCCGTTCTTCTAGCAACAGTGATGCCTCCCCACACCATAACAGAACCACCCCCAAATCTGACGTCTGATGACGTTAACGTCTTGGAAGCGGTCGTTTCGACGACGCCAGACCCTCCTACGTCTGTCCAAAAAATCAACAGTGAACCTTGACTCATCTGAAAACATCACATTGCTCCAGCGTCGATTATCCCAGTGTTGACGATCCCTACACCAACGACGTCTTGCCTGAATGTGATGATCTCTCAAACAAGGGATCACGCGAGGACGTCGGGCGCGAAGGTGACCCCTATGCAGTCGATTCCGAATCGTCTGGCCACTCACTCTCACACCAGTGTCTGTTTGAAGACGAGCGCTGATCTGATTTGCTGTGATGACACGATTTCTCAAGGCCAAGGTACGGATAAATCGATCCTGGGCTTGAGTTGTCGCCCTTGGTCGACCTGAGCGTGGTCTGTCCTGTACAGAATGTGTATCACGGTATCTGGACCATAGCCTGCTTATGACAGACTGAGAAACATTCATCGTCCGCGCCACAACCGCCTGTGTTGTGCCGATCTGTAGCATGCCAAGGGCACGTAACCTTTCATTTTGGGTAAGCCGACGCATATCAAAATTTGTTTTCTGGTCACTAAAACAATTAAACTGATGTTTCCACCCTGGAATTCAATGCCACAATGACTGTAACATTCAAAGTCAGAGTCGTGCAAATCTTGGGTTGGACCCCCATGATGATCCCAAGCATCACCTGCATTCCATGCGGTAGCTATTGGTGCGTTTTGGCGTCACATGTAACTGGAAATGTTTCTTCTGTTAGGTTCTATAGTGACTTTTTTCGTAGTCATTTGCATATTTTAGTATTATGCCCCCAAAATCAAATATCCCCTACTTTTTTTGAATAGTATATATATCAGGTCAGTACCCAGGCTCGATAAAACAAATTTGGTCGAAATGCTGACTGCAGCATTATCACATCCTGCGTGGTGCTCTCGCGGTCACGTTCTTAATCGTAATCTAAATAACACACCACATTAACCCAATTCAATATTTCAATTTCACCTATATCAAAGCGGTTTAGCTCATTTAATTGCATGACTATATGTCAACGCCAGTGATGATCCACCTCATGAGCAGAGTATCATCGGGAAGCCAGGTATAAAAATGATAAGAATTTTATCTTCAATGTGCAGCAATCTGATTAACTTTTTACAGTCTCTGTGTAAAAACTTTGGTGCCATGTTACATGGAGCTTTTAACTGTAACAATAATGACGTTAATGCAATGATCAATACCAATAATGTAGTGTATGAAAGAAAAGACGTGAAATGTGTCCTTTTATACTTATTATAATTTTCATGTAACATGAACTCATAAATATCCGTATCCAGCTTTCGTAGGGCAGTTTCTAAAAACATCTGAAACAATGGGGAATAAGGGTGGGGGTGGATCTGGCGTAAGCCCGAGTCTCAACCAATTACGATTTCAAAATTAGTGCAACTTTAAATTTCACTTTCGATCTGACGCCAGTCAAAATATCATAAAAGAATCAATATCGACGCCGTCTATATACATCTCTTTTCCCACTTGTCACAATGGTGTTATTCATATCCATTCAGACAGACTTCCATGAATATACAAGTAGCATTTCCGTCCATATTGGTACATGAAGAATATAATAATATGTCCATGATATTCGTATTGTAACCATTAAATTTTACCTTTTCGTTGAAACTAATCATTTGCCCGTTGGAGTCTTTAATCTACCAGTACTTTAACAGTTGGATCTAGATTTTTCACCTTTTTACCGAACCAATATCTAACCTTCTTCACATTCTCAATGGGTTGTACTCTCTTGATTGAATTCCTTGTGGTTTACCAACTTTAAAAATTGATTTGGTCTGAATGGTTCAACCATTTGTTGGTTGCGACACCATTCCATAAACCATCTTCTGATCGCGACCCTTCGAAGAACAAAGGCGCCTTTTACTTTTACTATGAAACATCGTCATTATTTACAGATAAAAAATGTTGTAATGAGAGACAGAAAACAAATGGTAGGCGCGAGAGGGGAATGATTATTGACAATGTGGCAAGGGGTGTATATATTAGAGATTTGTGTTTTTCATGAAAACATAGCATTTTTCAATAGTTTCAGAGTTGTCAGCCACGACCCCACGAAAAGTGCTCCGCGACTCCAGCTGGGAACCCATCAGTATTTTTCAATGATGAACATGTAAATTATATGAAGACGATGGATATTAGTATTATTGATTGCGGTATTAAACAAATACTGTGCAAGAAATTAATTCAGTAATGATCTTCATGGATTCCATCCAAAGGTATATAAACACCGTCGAATACCTCCAGGTACACTTAAATTTGAATAAATTACAGGCACTATAGTCAAACAGTTGTAAGTTTTATTTTAATCCCTTCAAGTGCCTGTGTAATAAATGCCCATCTTTATGAGATAAATCCCAGGAGAACAATCACAGACTGCATTTGAATGATACCCGGCGGTGCCAAAAGAGACTCAGAATGCCCAGTGATATCCAATCTTGGACCGGAGACCGCTCACTGACATTTTTTAGCTGTGTGTTTCATTTTTCCAATGCAGCTGCCCATAGGGCTATACTATATACTTCCGGTGTTTTCCGGTGTTATAATGTAACTTCTACAAAATGGCAGCCCCCAGGTAAGAAAGGGCGTGGATTATCGCATCTTATTGAATTGCATGACTAAAATCTCCAATGAGGGCATCATAAAATTACATATTTTGTACAAATTTATGATCGACTGGACGGGGCTTTACGATCACACCAAAAACTCGTCCACTGATCTGTTTATAAACACACTATAGTATTGTACAAAACAGTCATATTTGAACGGTAGCGGGTTTGCATGTATTTTAGTTTTTACATCTTCAAAACGAAAAAAAAAATAGATATAGTTTTCGGTGAAAATGATACTTATATAGACAACAAGAATTCTTTGCTGGCAATCTATAGGTTAGACAACAAGAATTCTTTGCTGGCAATCTATAGGTTAGATTATGGGTGTTAGGGTATAAAGCTTTTATCCTAAATAAATTATTCACATACATAGTAAGAAAATCACTAAAATATTAGCAGTTTTCGCAGTGATGCAGAATGATTGCTTTGATATAGTCCATTAAATCGCCTGTGTAAAAACATAATTAATTTATCCACCATTGATCATGATGTGGATCTGATACATGTTGTTCTATCGCTCTGGCAACGAAACGGGTATAGGCATATATCGTCTAAAAAAAACATAACTCGTTGATGTGTTCAGAAACTCAAAACTTAATTGATGTTCCATGATAACGCATTGTTCTTCAATAATTTATAAATTACAGACATGTGATCCCGTAGTGACGGGGATACACGTTCTCCTCCTTGAAAACTTCGTCCCCCCGTCGCCACTCCCTTGAAAATAGCACAGAGAAAAAAATTCAACCATGTTGACCTGCATCTACTAAAATTTTTGTTTCAATACTATTTATTTCAAATGTCAACGATACAACTAAACATGTTTTATTTGTTCTTAATTCAATAGATTTATTGTCCACTTTGTCAGAATTATATTTTCTTATTAATTTTCAGAAATTCAATTTCATTATGTAGAAAACTACACGGACTGCTTTTGATTTGCAGGCTTTTACAGATTTAATATGTTTTTTAAATCATAACTTTCTCTGGAATAGGCAGATGGGATAATAGGTGAAATAAATAATTTGGTCTTCAAAATGCATAGATTTGCTTCTATTTTGTGTTGAAATTTCGCAGCGAGCCTAAGGGAAAATTTAAGTTACGGGGTTTTCCAGGGCATCGATAGCAGCAAGGTGTCCGTGATGTCCCCTATAAGGTCGACAAATTATGGTGTGAACCTCATGTGTTAAACTGAATAATATAAGATTTCCTTGGAGAAACATTACATGATTGATGTTCTTCCTTTCATAACATATTCATACCGATTGTTTTAGTTAAAAGCCATTACGTATAATTATCACACACAATCGCTACGTTATAATGGCGTCTTCTTATTTTAAACGTCCCCGGGCGGCTATTTATCTTTTTCACAAATGCCAAATAAAAACTTCTTCAAATATCAAATCGATTGTTCGCATGCTTCAAAATCGATAATTGTTATGCTTTTGAAAGATCGCTGGCTAAAAACAAAGAACTTTTCCGTTAGTTTCCAAGTATTATTATACAGTAATGCAACGAATTCAAAGGAAGAAAATGTGAATGCCGTATTGTAATATTAATATTTAATTAAGGTACATGTACATATCTTTTTTTTTTAACTTGAAAGAGAATAGAATAATATTAAAGATGACAAGAACTGTAATGAAGGCCGAAACCAATAAATTGCATTTGTAAATTTAGAACTCTTCAAAATTGTCATTAACCCAATCGGTGCAGAAGAGTAGGTCGTTAAACTCCATTCCATTTCATTTCATTTCTAATTCTATACAGCCCTTTTACGTGATTTTCCCTATCCAGATATTTTATTACCAAATCTTAAGTCACATAATTCGGAGTCACGACTGGAATTCAAAATCTAAAATTAGAATAATAGCCCAAGTTTGTTCATTTGAATTGGTTTGTTGGTCGTGTCTTGAATATGGCTTTATTAAATCCTAGTGCACTAAAATAAAACTGAGAAAAAGAACCCTACAACATGGTAATATTCTTCTTGTGGTTTCACTTTAACTTTTTACGAATAGCGACACATGAAAATATACCGAGAAAAAACTGGGAGCTATCGATTTCAATATTGGTAAATGGAGTGGCAAAAAATCACATCTGGACAGAACTCTCTGAAAGCTATGACAATCTTTTAGTTATTACATTTTCTCCGAGGCGAAGAAGCTGATATAATTATTGAAAATTACTTCGAAAAGTCAGTCAACAAGAGAACGAGCTTATTAGCTTTTGGCTTCTCAGTTTCTTTAGCCATAGGCAAGCAGCCAACAATGTCTCTTCTGCTCGAGCACTTTTAGTATTGTTTTTATATCTGTACCGGTTCATAAATTCCAAATCCATCATTGGATATTTTTTTTTAAAACCAAAGATCTACCGTAAAATGTGTAGCGTTATTATTACCAATTAACTTGGCTTGGCCTAAATATATGAATGAGTTGAAAAGAAGTAACCATATTGTTTAGAACAAATAGGGATATCGGTTGTGTGAGCGTATGTATATTTTGAATATTGTAAGGAGTGGTTTGTTATACTAAACTGAATAATGGACGTGTTATGTTTACGAATATTTAGACTGTGAAAAGATTGGTTATTTTCTTGTATTCCTTATTTCGATATTTGTAGATGTGCACTTACATGTAATATTCGTAAAAAAAATATCAACATTTGGTGTTATTTATCTGATATTTGGATATTTTCTGTAGTTATCAGACATACCGACTGTCTATGGGGAATTAATTACCATTAGAAATGGCTTCGAAGAAAAAGAAATTGATTGCTTGTGGTTGTTAATACTGTGCTAATGTTTGTTAAGACTGCACCGTTTGCTTGCAGCAGAAAGATTAATTATTCCTGTGTGGTTAAGACTATTTGTGAAGGAATTCTTATTTAGATAAAACATTATGATCAACCAATGTCTGTTTATTATTTTGGTTGTAACATTTTTGCACAGTATTCATTCCCAAAGAGGTAAGATTTTGTACTTTATATCTTGAATATGTAGTAAAACTACAAGATAAACTGAGATCGTCTTATATAGGTGATAGTACATTGTGGTTGTCATTATGGATATATATACGTACCATTGTTGTTCAATGGTTGAAAAATAAATTCGTTTTAGATCTTGATCCATTCAAAGGTATTGAGATCTGTAACCCACCAAATGTAAGCTCAATTACATGATTTACCGTCAACACATTGTCTGGGTTGGGAATTATGCTAATGATAACCATTTGAGTGCAAACTTGTTGAATAAACTATACCCCAAGCATAAAGACGAGCGGTACTCATGCGGCAATGTTTTAATGTACTGATTTGCGTCTTTTATTTATTTCAACATAGCAATTTACACAACAGTCTTATAGAATGGACATGATGGTGATTTCTCATCAATTAGATAGATGCACCGGTGAAAAAAATGATAATTTGTGATGTAAAATGTGTAATTAACTGAAAAATATTGGTACAACGATGGATATATCAAATGTATAGACAGCCACGTCCCTAATTTATTAACCTGGTTATGTTTCAATAATTTGGATGTCAGAAGTTTGATTTAAAATCTTTAATCTAAGAGCAACTATTGGGCAATAAAGGGTTGAGAGTTCTTCTCTTAGCAATTCAAAATAGAATGGATCTTACATAACCACCTTCTAAGCTAAGTTTGGGCGGGAGTCGTAAAGGAGTTCACATGCAACATTTGTAACCATCCATATGAAATAGAATAAAATAAATTATCATTAATTATTACAGAATGTCCGGGTTCTAACTTTGGAACAGGATGTCGTTTGGAGTGCCATTGCAAAGATAAAGCATCTTGTAATGAAATACAAGGAACGTGTCCTAACCAATGTGCTGCTGGTTGGTCAGGTCCGGTATGCCAGAGGCGTAAGTGATATTATTTTTCAACGCTATGCACATAATTGCTAAAAACAAATGTACCAGGGCTGGCTGAATAGTTATAAGCCTATCAATTTTACATATTCCCCTGCGAGGTGTACACACGTTTGCCAACGATGTTACTATGCCTGGATGCCGGTCAGACATTTTCTTCGGCCACCCTAAAAAAGTCGTTCACAGCTGACATGGCGCTCCAAAACGCTGCAGATTGTCACAGGACGTCAGGAATCTGACACGTTTCTGATCCGCAGTCAAGAGCTTTGGCACCCATCTTGCAGGAACTTTTGTCATTCCTAACTCCTTGGCGATAATGTGCCCAACCCTCTCATGCGAGATGTCTATGTCTATGATGCATTCAATCATTTCACTTGTCGGTGGCAAAAGTTTGTTTCAACCCAAGTGATCTATCCATTTGAGGCTTAGAACTTTTCTGCCAGCCCCAATATTTATTCTTTCTATATCTCATAAAGGCACTGATACTATATGTCTTGAATACGAGCCTTCCCACATAAATACGATTTCTTTTTAATTTCATATAATACCAAGAGACCACAAGAGCAACGATAATTTGAAAGATTGTATATGAGTCAGTTATTAAAACTAGAAATCTAATCTGAATGACGGTCAGCAAACAAACGTTGAAAATTTCAAACATTGCGACAGATTGGGCAGGTTATTGATGATCGGGCGCCAACCAGAGCACTGATATGTTTATAATTATTATGAAACTCCTGATAATCGTTCATGTAATGATAACATAGATTGCTTCAGTGTGCTCCAAAAGGAAAGTCCTAGTTCTATTACATGATTTTGTTAAAACTATTCCCTTTTAGTATCTCCTTTGATTGGAGATATTGTTTAAAAGGTCATAAATCAATGGGAAAACTGTATGGACAAAATTAACTACGTGTATGTAATTATTTTATATTAAAGAGAATTTAGGATATTTATCACAAGTGGAAGTACGGCATCTTGATGATGATGGTGCAGAAGTAGTTGATGAAGATGAAACAACATGTATCAGTTCACCTAAACCTAACAGGACAGGCTGGCTGAAGGTTGATTTAGGATCATCACACCGAATATACAGTATGAAATTAATAGCAGGTAAATATAACAATAGTATTGATCCCATAAACCGCTGCGCCTGCATCTAGAGCTGAAATGTTAGTTGATCAAGGCTTCACCACTGGATTGTTGGAATTATATCCAAGGTTTAGCCATTGTTGGGAAATTTGGTATTAAGGTGGACAGCAACACGGACTAAGCACAGCAATTACTGTCGATCGGCCCTGTACCATAGTTTCACGACTATGCTGTTGGGATTACATCTAAAGATTAACCCGTGGGCGGTTGTAACTGTATCTGATTGGTGGGGCGGCATCTAAGTGTAACCATTTGGTGAGTGGCACTAAATTAGAGTATCAATCGCTGTGATACTACGTCTTATAATCAAACACGGTGTTAGCGGGCCTGATTCTAATTACCCATCAATAGTTTGGTAGGTCAGTATCTAAGAATCAGCCACTGATGTGCTGCATTCATCCATAGATAAGTCATTGGTCTACTGAGACCAACACATCCAGTCCACTCAGTAATAGCATGGACCTTATAATACATGGACTGGCAACGGCTTAAAAACCTAACCAGAGATGTGTGCCGCGCTGAAATTACACGTCATGTAATTTGAGACGTGTCAATGACGACCAAACGAAAGTTGTTAACGAGTTATGTCCCTTCGCGGCGTCTGTAGTTACCTGGCATGCGTACTGCTCCATTATGAGTATAATGGCTTACAGCACCTATAAATAAATCTGCGAGCCGTCGGATGTTTATATTTTATTGAATAATATGCCAATAAAATTAAACTTATTTTAAACAAAATTTCTCACATTTTCTATCTAAAGAAACTGGGCAAAACTGTGGGGAAATTTGGGTCAAATCAATTACAGGTTTATTCATGATTGTTGAACATTGTTTTCGATTGTTCATATAACAACAAACAATGGCGACGTCTTTGTTTCGTAGATACGTGTACTTTGAAGATGGTAATTACAAAGTTGTTTAAAATAAAATGTATACATATATGCAACGGAAATTATAGTTAATGACTTATCTTGTCAAACAAAAGTTTATTTTAGCAGTTTTTGGTAAATTCGGGACACAAAACGGAACGATGAAAACGGGTGACTATGTATAGCTAATTAGCGAAGACATTGAGTAATATCGCTATTGGCTTCTCTCGTGTTTTCTCGCGCGGCAGGCATTTAGCGATATTGCTTCTCGTAACCAGTCCATGTATGGTAATAGAGTAGGAGTGGTGTATGGTGGCCCATGGTCGCAATAGCGTTTTTTTGGGGTTTTTTTGGTATTTCATTTGAAATAATAAAAATATTAGTACAAAAAAAAAAAGAAACATTTTTTTTTTTACAAAATAAAAAAAAATAATCTTTTAAAATTTAAAAAAAAAAAAAATCTTTTTAAAATGAAAAAAAAAAAAATCTATATATATATATATATAAAAAAATAATAAAATATATTTTAAAAAAAATAAAAAATAAATAATATACTATTCAAAAAAAGTAGGGGATATTTGATTTTAGGGGCATAATACTAAAATATGCAAATGACTACGAAAAAAGTCACTATAGAACCTAACAGAAGAAACATTTCCAGTTACATGTGACGCCCAAACGCACCAATAGCTACCGCATGGAATGCAGGTGATGCTTGGGATCATCATGGGGGTCCAACCCAAGATTTGCACGACTCTGACTTTGAATGTTACAGTCATTGTGGCATTGAATTCCAGGGTGGAAACATCAGTTTAATTGTTTTAGTGACCAGAAAACAAATTTTGATATGCGTCGGCTTACCCAAAATGAAAGGTTACGTGCCCTTGGCATGCTACAGATCGGCACAACACAGGCGGTTGTGGCGCGGACGATGAATGTTTCTCAGTCTGTCATAAGCAGGCTATGGTCCACTGGGATAATCGACGCTGGAGCAATGTGATGTTTTCAGATGAGTCAAGGTTCACTGTTGATTTTTTGGACAGACGTAGGAGGGTGTGGCGTCGTCGAAACGAGCGCTTCCAAGACGTTAACGTCATCAGACATGATCGATTTGGGGGTGGTTCTGTTATGGTGTGGGGAGGCATCACTGTTGCTGGAAGAACGGCTTTACATGTTGTTGCAGGGCGTGTTACAGACCAGTACTACCGGGGCAATATCTTGGCAGTCCATGTTGTGCCGTTCGCACGACGTCATGGCCGCCGTTTCATCTTCCAGGATGTCAACGCAAGATGTCACAGGGCCAGGATCGTTACAGGTTACCTCCAACAACAGAACATCACCACATTACCTTGGCCAGCACTGAGTCCCGACCTCTCCCCCATCGAGCATGTCTGGGACATGCTTGGACAGAGGTTACGTCAACGTCAACAACGTCCTGCCAATGTCCAAGAACTTGCTGCTGCGTTGCAACAGGAATGGGACAATCTGGACCAAAATGACCTTAGACGTCTCATTAGGAGTATGCCACGTCGGATCAATGCTTGTTTGGCAAACAGAGGAGGATTTACCCGTTACTGACTTGGTTGTGATGCTGTGGTAACTTTGCTGTTTGACCCCGGGTATCATTTTACCCTTATAATGGTCAGTCTGTGCCTTACTTAGTCTAACGATCATTTGGAATAAATCGATGAATGTGAACTTCATTTCATTTTGTCATTTGTTTCTTCGTCAGTTTCATTAGGTGACTTTAATAACACTTAAAAATCAAATATTCCCTACTTTTTTTGAATAGTAAAAAAAAAATTAAATGAAAAAAAAAAAATTGAAAAAGAAAAGATAAAAAATAATTCCCGACGTGGCCCATCGTCGCAATAGTGTCTTGAGTATCCAGACCCAGTATACAGCTATCATTAGACTAGAGCGACCAGAAACATTTTGTGGCCCATTGTTGCAGTAGTATCTCGATTATTATGTGTGGGATCTATGAAGAACGTATAAACTCGAACGACAAGAAACGAGTCTGTAGTTATCTCACGTCAACATAATTGTAGATACTTCAATTTTGATTAGCTAAGCACTAAAATAAATCTAATATTATCTATTATCCAATCAAATACTAAAATCTGAATTTTATCTTAGTAAAACAGGCCCCAGACGAAGTCCACGTAGGCTATCATGCTCTATTTTGTCTTTGAAATTGATGTTGTCCGCCATCGCACTTTCGCACCTCTTACCCGTTCCTGTGGTCGTAGCGGGGGACTAGCGATGACCTCAGGGAGAGCAGGGGTTTCACAAAAACTGAAGCTAAAATCACTAACATAGATTTTAAAATCAAAGTGAAATTTTAAATTTATGCGTTTCACGAAGATCGATTGTAACTTAAAATTTAATTTTAATAGATTTTAGTTAAAATTACTTGTGCCTTGATGTGAGGTAACTATAGACTGGTTTCTTGTCGCTCGAGTCTATACCATACGTTCTTCATAGATCCCACACAGGATAATCTGAACGACAGACCCACGATGTTTGACAGGTCACCCTACTCCTTGTCACGTACAACCGGGGATTCGAAATCACGCCAGTTGACTCAATGACGGGCTTTATGATATGACAGGCTTTATGATACAGCGCGCACGTGCTAACCATTCGCCCCCCCCCCCCCCGGCTACTTAGTAGTAGTAGGCCTATACTTCGAGGATTAGTTTCAAAGTTGTTAACTACTTTTGAAATTCGACCTCAGGGAGACCAAGTGTTTTAAAAACATTACATAAGCCTTTTGAGGGGAGAATAGGCCTTGCGCACTAGTAGTAGTAGGCCGAATGGTGTCATTAAAGTCAATGACTTCAAACGTCATTATGTATGTAGGCCTAGTTCTAGTTAGACTGGATAAACTAGTCTAAATGACGCTAGGCTTCTATAGTCTATTAATTATACATTTCTATTGACTTGCATATGTATAAATACATATATCCAAGTCCATAGACGTCATGGGTGGAAAAATTGTGTTTCACGTGTTGATGTCTGTTTACCTTTTTCCTTTCGGAAGGGGAGATAACTACAAACTCGTATTTCTGGTCACTCAAGTCGAATGATAGCTGTCGTAGGCTGATTTTATACTGAGTCTGGATAATCAAGACACTATTACGACGATGGGCCACGTGCAGAATTCTTTTTTTGATTTTTTCTATTTCACTTATTTTTTTTTTTTTTTAATAAAAATGTTATTTTTTTTTATAGATTTTTTAAATCTTAAATATTTTATATAGAGTTTTTTTTCTTTTAAAAAGATTTTTTTTTGTCTTAAATTTTAAAAAGATTTTTTTTTCTTTTTAATTTAAAAAGATATTTTTTTCTTTTTAATTTAAAAAGATTTTTTTTTCTTTTTAATTTAAAACGATTTTTTTTTTTCTTAAATTTTAAAAATATTTTTTTTTATTTTGTAAAACAAAAGAAAAAAAAATGTTTCTTTTTTTTTACTTTTATTTTTTATGATTTTAAATGAAATACAAAAAATAACCCCAAAAACGCTATTGCGACCATGGGCCACCATAGTGGTGCCATAAAGGTCCGCTTAAAATCGGGAAGAAAATTCGACAAGTTGTTAAAAAAAACCTCATGACTATAAAAGTGTGGATCATGTGTACTTTCAGGCCCCGGTATCTCCATTCAAAACTGGAAAATTCACGTAACAGATTACAACCATGACGACCTATTTTGGGGTATACCCTGTACAACGCTAAAAACAGAATCTTCCTGGGCGGATTTTACTTGTGATCATCCGGAGTATGGTCGATATGTGTCTATATTTAGCTATGGCCGTCCAGTAGATGTTTGCGAATTTCAAATATACGGTATGTATACACATTGTACTTATCTTCATGCGTTTGCCAACCTCATGTTTATTTTTGGTTATGTTAAAACTGTCTGTACTGAAATTCCGATACTGATCAAGAAGAATATTTTCCCACGCAAATTCAATATGAAATTTCTACTTTAGAAATCGTGATTTTATCATAATAGTTCTTTTTAATACCCTTTCTAGTACAGTGGCTAGTGATTGATTGTAGGTCTGTATTCCACCAGGTACACATGGCTGGTTTATCTTCACGTATTCAATATGTTTTTTTTTAAATCACCGCATCGGGTGTGAATTAGGACCATGTTCATATGTTCTCAAAATACTTTTAATGTGTTCCAGCTTGCTCTAATTATACATATGGCGACACTAACTGCCATGGAAGGTGTTCTTGTTATGATGAAAATGAAATTTGCCATTCTCTATACGGTACTTGTAAGTCGGGTTGTGTAGCCGGTCTAACAGGTCCAGGTTGCAAACAAGGTAAGCTTTATTTAATCATCGGGTTAACCCAAATGCACATATAAGCAGCTTTGTCAGTTCGTCATCGGTGTTTGCCGAGACAGATCTTCGTGGTTTTTGCTAACGGCCTGGGAAGGAACGCCGTCTGGTCGTTTGGATGGCACCGAGGTCCTACTTACCCGTTGGGGTGCACGTAAATTCGATGTGAAGAGTGGTCGGAAACGCCCTTACCCGGGTAAAATGTCTTTCAGATCACATTGAATAGCGTATACTGGTCCTTAGCACAGACAAATTCATGGGCACAACAGTAGGCACCAGTCGGAAAATGTAACCGATACGTTAAATTAAAACAAGGAATGCCCGTTGCTTATTCAAATATCAAAACACATATAGGCCTAGATATAAAATCCGAACTAAAATATTTGATGATACCTATCCTGAATGTACGACGTTTCCTCTACCGACGTTTTAGTCCCATAGATTTATAACCCTAACCCTTGCCAATTTGTTCCTATTAGCAGCTATTTACCCTCTGTTGTCGAAACTTCGGTGAACCCTGAATCTAACCAATTCTACCCCATACAAAGGTTTAGTTATATTACTGTTGTCGTTGTTGATTTTGTAGCATGTGTCATGTCGTATGGAAGTAACTGTGTACATTCTTGTGGACATTGTTATGAAAGAAGAGCATGTGACAAAGTAACAGGGGCATGCCCATCTGGTTGTGAACCAGGGTGGAATGGAGTCAAATGTGACGAAGGTAAACATTGATCAAGATATGGAGATGTTTCAGATTTGAGATTTTTACTCTTTATTATTAAGCTACTTTACGTCATTTGGTATAGTAGGGCTAGTGGAGTCATGGCGATAGTTATCCGAAACAACGCAAGCCATATCAGGGATAGATATATCTTGTATTCCGCAGTAACTGTAGAAAACTACAGAAAAACGCATTAACGGAAATTCAATAATGAAGTAAAAGCAAACGTCAGCTGATGACGTAAAAACATAATGGTAATGAGTGCAAAATGACCACAACACACAACAACTAACTAGAAACCCAGAAACATACACAGACCGGTTACAGTTATAATGATATGTTATTGCTATTACAGAATGCCCGACGGCTTCCTATGGATTCCTGTGTAGAGCTACATGTGGACATTGTAAAGATGATGCTACATGCGATCACGTAACTGGAACTTGCCCAAATGGTTGCAGTGCTGGGTGGTTTGGTAGAACATGTGACCATGGTAAGTTTAGTTTATTTCATTATGGGCAGTATTGCATTTCTATTTATTGAACTCTGATATCACTTAGGTTTGGAGTAATACTGCTGAACTTCCGTTATACTATTTCAGTCTTGATTTCAATTGTATTCCTCGCTTTTGCTTCTTGCAGTTGATTTTCTTTAGACCCACCAAGAGCTATCTGAACAAATGTATTAAATTTTGATACCAGACAAATGATTTTTCTATTTTCAGTTTGTAATATTGGTAGTTATGGTGAAGATTGTAAATTTAATTGTTCTAACTGTGAGCATGGTTCCTGCAACAGATTATCAGGAATTTGTACTTCTGGATGTAAACCTGGGTGGGAAGGTGCTTTCTGTAATCAAGGTTTGTCAAGGTTCTTCTTTGCATTTCACATTTTCACCGTCTTTGATATCAAAGCTTTAGGGCGTCCTTGGATTAAACGAAGTCTGGCATAAGCAAACGATGGGCAGTGACTCAATGCCATTGTACAGCTTGTCAATACAATGTAAGTCACCCTGTTCCATTGGTTGCTTGTTCGGTCGCGTCATGCAATACTAAATGCTTTCAAGGTATCTTCTCATTCTTGTCTCTGTGACCCGTTGGAGGTAATATTTATTTCGACAGAGCTACCAGACATCAAGCCAGATAGGGATAGACAGTGGCGAACCTACATTTTTGAATCCCGAACTTTCAATTTTTATGGGGGCTTTGTCAACCCTGCACTCGTCCAATTCACCAGGAATTTAATTAAGGCCTGATTCTACCTGGGAAATTACCCAAGCATCCACCTAAGACGTATACTATGCCCGGCCGCTACAGCAGACCTGCATTATTTAAGTTGTTCCTGAGGTCCCTCCAGGACTAGAGACCATGGATCACCTGTCCCTGGCTGTAATAATTACGATATATAATTTTGGAATTGCAGCATGACCCGTCCTTAAAATGTATTGCATTTTTGACAAAGCAAAATGGGTGTCTTCTATCACTCCACAAAATATTATTTATCGGGACTTGGAGTTGAACATTTTTATGTAATGTATTTGTTGTACAGCATGTTTGAAGGGAAGTTATGGGAAGAATTGTCTAGAATCGTGTGGTCGGTGTGAGACGTCTCCTTGTGACCGAGCTTCTGGTATGTGTGATGAAAAGGGTTGCGAACCAGGTTACTATGGTGCCAACTGTTTACATGGTAAGATAAAAATTATTTTTTTCAACAAACGAAAAGAAAGTAATCATATATTTTAATACACTGTAAATAAGTCAAATGGTAAGATAAAAATTATTTTTTTCAACAAACGAAAAGAAAGTAATCATATATTTTTATACACTGTAAATAAGTCAAATGTTTTCAAATTCGTTTATTAAGTTTTGTATTTTGTCCCCAACTACGGCGCCCGATTCCAAAGTCGATTTTCTATAAATTTTCTAACGTTAGTAAGTGAGTACTGATTTAATATAGTTGATATAGACTAAGATACCTGAAAAATTATCTGTTTCAATGCAGAGTGTCCAGCTGGTCTATATGGTTCTAATTGCGGTTATTCTTGTGGACATTGTTCTGATGGTGAGAGTTGTGATCCAAGAACAGGAACATGTCCTGAAGATTGTGTACCTGGATGGACGGGAGTACTTTGTATTGAGAGTAAGAAATCCAACGCAAATATTTTGATTCGATAACTTATAATGCTTTTCTCCTTTATAATACTAACACTTTACATATTCAAACCAATGGAAGTAGTGACAAATAGATGTTATCCCTGGACTAGAGGTAGTTCAGTTCATCAGGACGAAAGTTACGAATAGAAGGCTAGAAATGGTAGTTTCAATCAATTACATAGATTACATATCAAAGATAAACCAGTAAAACAGCAACTCTTTTTCAAATTAACGATTCATGTTCTACAAAACAATTTTCTATTTGCAGAATGTCCGTATGGAACATTTGGTGCTGAATGTAATATGACGTGTGGTGTTTGTAACGAGCGTGAGACTTGTGATCATAAGACTGGGTTGTGTGACAAAGGGTGTGCAGAAGGTTTCCATGGTGATTTATGCCAAGACAGTAAGATTCTTTTTTATTCTCTATCCATGTAACAGATCACGTGGCTTGATGGAAGCATCATAACGGTCGTGCACTTGGTTTTATTCAAATAATGACCAATTAGGACGTTAGGAAATTGCGCTTTCCTTATTGTAATCACTGTTACCGCTAACATGGGGTATAAACCAAGACGGCTAGAAGCTCTGTGGAAGTAAATTCAGATAACATTATAAACATGTTTATTTATACACACAAACAGGTTATAAAGCAAAAGCAGAACCCCTTAAGATAAAACATAATGTTATTAAACCGGCCCGTGGCTTATGTGTTGTCCAATGTCTAGCGGTTGTGATAGTGAGACTTAAACGTACAACAGACTCAGTTGACGGAGTCTAATCAAAGAATTTACTTCCATATGTTAAATGGACAGCGAGTAACGACAAATATGACCTAAAAATGGACCCTCCGTAAATCAAGTCACGCGACAAACAATGATACTTAAAATGATTTTTACGGCTTGGCATAGTTCCTTGTGATTAAAGTTAAAATAGATTCTTGTGACATGGACTAATTTTCTTGAGATCAAGATGTTTTGAGCGGGATTTGAAGCAAACTTTTGATAAATTAGTTAGAATATGTGTTTAAATCCAAAACTGTGTAGTTTCCCTAGTATAAAAATAGCCGCCTGGAGATAAGTTGTGCCCTACAGCTGCAGTGCGCTGCCGATTATTTGTGAATCCCCTAAATTTATTATTAGTGTGCTCTGAACGTTAGTAAACTACATTTATGTTATAATTTCAGTTTCTGCATCAAGTTTGAAAGGTGACGTTTCTAATTCCTTGTTATCAACCTTAGGGGCTATAATTGGAATTGGCGTTATCCTGTTCCTGGCATTATTAATGTCTTGTATTGTCATCAAGTGGCGACGAGAATATGCATTCGAGGATTACGACCATAGAGCCAAAAGAAAACTTTTATTAAATGCCGAAGCTTTGTAAATAAATTTATTAATAACAATAAAATATAGATTTATTAAACTGATTTTAGTGCATACTTTGTAGAACCTTTCTGTATACAGCTGTAAGTAATTAAATTTTCGCGCAATTGCAGAATTATTGGTTAAGTCAGACGGTGTTTCGTCGCCATTACCTCACGCCTTCTAAATGGCGATTTAGTCCTTCCATTTTGCGCCCCTTTCTCGTGCGAAAAATGAAACGATAATGGCTTCATACCTCGCATCGGTTCATATGAGAAAGGGTATAAAATCAGAAACTGTATTTTGGGTGTGAATTCATTCTTACCAACACGATGTGTCTGTTACTAGACGATAGTATATTATGATTATCTCCCACGCCATGATTATTAATGGTTACTTCTATCCGTCACTCAAGTTTTAAATGTGTGGACCTTCTTATTATACAAGACAGTGAAGGATTTCACTTGATTATCAGTTGAAAAATATTAAAGAACGAATAGTTATTTAAGTTAGAAGATATACAATTTAATACATGGTTCGAGTTACATCGTGAAATGCGAATGATCACTGACCTTATTGCGAATGCTGCACACTTTATACATCTACACTTGTTTGGAGCAGAATTGTGCGTTTCAACTAGGTGTTTCGAAAATGTTTTTGTTTAACCTTTCTGAGAGATTCTCGTTGGCTACAGTGTCAGAAATATGTATAGCGTCTGTCGCTACCCTATACGGATCTATACTTGATGTAATTCTCGACCTTTACTCCATGATAGGATCTCAAGTTTAAGACCTAGTAAATAGAGAGTTGCCTCCCTTTAGTAATCATTCCCGCAAAGATTCGGGTTTAAGGTTAAAGGACAATATTGGTGTCAGTCATTATCACATATTTTAACACGGAGATTATTGCTACGATAGATGCGTTATGAAGCTTTCAAGAAAGGGAAGTGACGAACGCAAAAGGAAAACACAAGTTATCCTTCTATATAACCAACTGAAGTGACGAGTAATAACAGATTCATCATAGGCGAATTTCTGCTCACCAATAATTCCGTCGAAGACCAAAAGTTGTTATATGAGACTGTTGGAGGATATCTGACAATTCAAAATAAAATAATTAATTGTTACTAGATAAGATAAGAGAAAACAAGAAAAATAGAAAAAAGGCCGTGCACTACGATGTTTTTATTAAACATACATTATGCAAGAGCTAAATCTGCCTATTGCGAGTCTTTCTCGCTTGCGTGTAGGGGTCTTTAGTAGTAGAAGGAAACAGGGGGACCCGGAGTAAACCAACGAGGTTGGATTTTACCTATAGCTCGTGCTAAAACAAAATGATAGGTATGGGCAGATTCTGAAAGCGCTCCTTAGATAAAAAAAAAAAGCAAACCATCCATCAAGTTTCTTCTCGTAAAAATATATTTATCTGCATATTTTACACGATTGTCCAAGTTTATTTTAAAACTTCCGGTTTATTTTGTAGCCTTTTCTTGTCTTAATAGGTATTTTATATTTTTGTCTGTTTTCCGGTTTTATTGTCAGTTTTTATGCCCGCATATACAAAATACATACAGATAATCAATGTCACAAGGACGTAGTTCGTCTATTTATAGTAGTACCTTATTTCCCGTTTTTGCAAGGCAAATTCTGGTGACTGAGTTTTTGGTCCAGACACGAAGTCAATGTGGAGAGAACACTTCCCTACCCCCTCGTTGCTCAGAGCTAGTTACGGCCCTGCTTTCAATTTGATTATCTCGATGAAAATTCCCTTTAACACATATCGAACCGGTTGTTTATTTTATACGCTAAAATGTTTAAAAGTTATGTTAGAAATTGTGATGTATATTAAACGTTGTATCGATTATCGATAAATCGATATTTATTATTATATTTATACAATATATTTCATTTGTTTCCTCGCCTGTATAGACGCGGGTCGATGCAGGTGACAAAAAAGTAAACTCGATGGAGGTGAACAGCGATTGGTCTGATCAGTTACGATTGACATTTATCGATTAATTTAACCCCTACTTGACCCCTATACCTACCAGGGCGGAAAAACTATTATATTGGTGGAGAATGGTAATGATACGATCAATTATAATGATCAGTCTTAATTACAAGCTTTGTGGCTAGCGACTAATGCCAGGAATGGTTCTAATGTAAAATAGAATAGAAGAATAACGATTGTTTCTTCTTTAAGCACCTGATGATGGTCGAATGGTCATCACGCGCTGAAAGGAATGGTAACTAGTATATCGCTGAACTTGTTTATAGTTAGCAGCCGGATTTTATCACCAAAGAAACGGCCTTAAAGCCAGGATAGCTTACAAAAATAACATTTTCGGTGGATAAGTATGAAATGGGTGGACAGTCGGGAAAACATCGAAACGTTGGGGAACTTTTGGAATATTTTCTTCGAGCCCGAAAATCCAGATTTAAAAAAAATATATCAATTTTTAAAAGAAGTATCAATTCCAAGAACATTTAGATAAGGTACAATAGGAAGTCACTATTTAATCTGTTTTGAAGATAATTATTGCGGGATATGAAATGGGTAAACTTGATGATGACAACTCGGGTATAAACACCGAAACGTTGGTGAGCTATAATATAATACCTGGATATTTCTTCGAACCCGAAAATCCGGACTTAAACAAATTTCAATTCAAAATGTCGTGAATTAATTTACGTTGCATAAAGAGACTCTCTAGCCAGGAGGTCTCGGGGTCGCTCCTGGTGTTGGACGAGAGTATGACAAGGTACAGTGTCTAGTCGAGAGGATGTGGCGAAACACCGAGGACAAGTGTACACATTGATTGCACATAAAGGAAGCATTGACAGTTGACGGGGTTTGAAATACGAGTAGGCCGTAGTGTCGTTATCCGGGCAAACTTTCCCCATGACATATGCCAGATTTCATTAGTCCAGTTTGTGCAGAAAGGTGGGACCTTAAACACCATTTCATTTAACGTTACATTAAGATATAAATAAATCAAGACACTTCGTCTATCTTTCTGCTTGGATAATTTTTAATTAAATATGGTAAACGAATATAGACAATAACAAGATTTGAAATAACTTCTCATCTTCTCATGTGTGCCAATTTTTAGGCGGTAATTTCTTAAAAATCTGAAAAAAATTGATCCATTAGCCTAATTTTGAGGTTTAGCTGAAACCTGTCCATATTGATTTTTACCAATTCAGCTGTTCAGAAACATTTTCATAATATTGTGTGAAAAGAATCTGTACTCTCGGCGTCACATTGTTCACACATCGCAACTCTCCAAAATGATCGCAACTCACATAAATGATGTATAAAACAATCTTAGGCAGGGGACGCTTACGGTTACAGCTCATACCCGGATCCATTCACTTAATTTATATACGATTGTTGTTTATTGCTTACAATGTCTGTGATGTTTGTCTCTCTTGTCCATTGGTTTGTCTTTTGGGTTTTGTTTGCGTGTAGTGTGATCCTTCTGTACTTACTGTTAAACAACTCGGTATTTCTGACTTGGACCATAACACCATAGGCTACCAGTTCTAAACATTTTTACAGTTCAATACACACCATCAGCGGTATTAAAGTAATTATTGTCCTGCTTTAAAGGTACAACATTTTTACAGTTCAATACACACCATCAGCGGTATTAAAGTAATTATTGTCCTGCTTTAAAGGTACAACGTAAGGTAAAGAAAACCCGAAAAAAAAAGACCCAGGAATGAATGAACGGTTCAAATTTCTAATATTAAATTATATGGTCATCTCTGTTAGATGACCACCATTGGTGTGCTGGGGTTGAATTCTTCCATTCCACTTGACGTAATGGAATCACTGTATTTTTTTTTCATTATCTTCATTCTTTATGACATTATTATATATTTTAAGCACTGCTAAGTGCTTTTATCTAATAGTCATTTTTATATCAACAACCGCAGACTATTTCACGTTACCGAAGCCCAATTAACAATGTTCACTTTACAAGGAATTTTAATAGATGGGCGTAACTTAAACCCTGAAAGAGATATCCATATATAGCTGTCGATTTTTTTAAAGGAAAGTATGGTAGAGTTCAATATTTCAAAACTCATTCTATAGTGTGGGTCACTAAAGCTAACAGTTATTGTGCACCGAAATTAAACTTTTGTTGGCAAGCCTTTAGTTAATTCCCAACATTAAACAGCTTCACGCGAATCATTTCAAACTACTGATGACTTCACGCTAAACATTTTCGTCTTCATTCAGATTTCCATTACTTTTCTACAACAAGAGATATGTTTTTGCAGGATTTCTGATGAGAACTAAATCGGATTTTAAATGTGGCCTGAGAAAATCTTTTCTCCTGAATATGGTCAATTACAGGACTGAATTGCAAGCGAGGAAGTCAAGTTGTAATCCCCGATTGTAGATTTTTCTCCCTATTATCCCCCGAGCATTTTTAATCGTGGAATACTCTCTTAGTTATAGCACAAAACAAACAGTGGGAATGAATTTGATCATTTGTTTAATGTCAAAAAATGAAATTGAAATGACTCCAAGAAACTGATGAAAGCTAAAAGATCTCAATCGAAATTCCCCCAAAGATAGAGGAATAAATATTGTGGGGATTCTTTTCGTCTATCATCCTAAACCTATATCCTCAAATTCAGTATGATTTAAAATTTGCAGTGTCCCGTTTGTTATAACGTCCTACTGCTCGGCTCCTACTGGGCTACGGGTATGCGCCATATAGTATGCTGTGAGGGAATTGTTGCCTGGGGTGAAAACAACCCATTTTTTCTAACATCCATATAATAACCCATTAACCATTAAATGTTGGTTTCATAATTAAATACTGCAACGAATACAAAAAACAAAAAAAAAACAACAAAAAAGCAGCACGATATTAAATATCTTGTTAAAAAAAGTAGTTGTCATGCAGTTATTTAAAACGCACTATCTTTCTGTCTCCAGGCCGGCGCAAACATTTTGTTTACCGTTGATAACCCCGAATCGGATCAAAAGTGTGACCTCCAGAGGGCCCACAGCCTTGATATATATACCATATTTTTT